ATGATATCTTTAATTCTCTATTTTTGGTGAATATTTTGTCATTTTTTGTGAAAAGTGATATTTTCGACTTCTTGTTAAAAACCGCAAGTCCAATTGCTTTGATACTACATATATAGGTACTACATGTGGACCTCTCTCAGATTTGTTTATTTCGTGATGATATCTTCAATTCTCTAATTTTGGTGAATATTTTTGTCATTTTTGGTAAAAAGTGATATTTTTGACTTCTTGTTAAAAACCGCAAGTCCGATTGCTTTGATATTACATATATAGGTACTACATGTGGACCTCTCTCAGATTTGTTCATTTTGTGATGATATCTTCAATTCTCTAATTTTGGTGAATATTTTTGTCATTTTTGGTAAAAAGTGATATTTTCAACTTCTTGTTGAAAACTGTAAGTCCGATTGCTTTGATATTACATATATAGGTACTACATGTGGACCTCTCTCAGATTTGTTCGTTTTGTGATGATGTCTTCAATTCTCTAATTAATTTATTTTGGTGAATATTTTTGTAATTTTTGGTAAAAAGTGATATTTTCGACTTCTTGTTAAAAACTGTAAGTCTGATTGCTTTGATACTATTCATATTGTTCATTTTCTAATGATGTCTTCAGTTCTTTAATTGAAATGTGCATTGCTAACAGCGGAGCTATCTCAGCCGATAGGCTGCTTGTTTGTTCTGTTCTGTTCATATTAGTTACCTGACTTAAATAATTAGTTTTCAGTTTTTCCATCAATATCTCAGGTACAAGTAATTTTGAATTAATTTTTAATGTGTCTTCAATTCTCTCAGCACACACGGGAGTTCTTTCTAAGCTTTCTTCGATTCAGTTTTGCTTTTAAAAATTCTATTGCAAGGAAATCTTTATGCATCAACTATATCATAATGTCTATTCTGTTTGTTTTAAGGAATACCCAAGGTAAAGGTGTGATGCCTGATGGTACTAGTCGCTTCACATGCAATGGCAAAACTCTTTACCATTTTATGGGTACTTCAACATTTTCTGAATACACTGTGGTGGCTGAAATATCTGTTGCCAAGGTAACCATCTCATAAATTTAACGTATTGCCTGCTGAGGCAGTTATTCCCATTTATTTTGGCTATCCATGGATGCGTACAACACTCACTGTATTCAGTGTTTTTGATTACGCGCATGACAATTTAGAAATTGGACCACAAGAAGATTCCACATTAGAACATATATACACACTAGAAGGAAATGTAATTTCTCATGGTTCTATCCCAAGGCAGAATATAGTTTCCTGCTTGACATGCCAAAGTTGTTTGTTATTTCTATTGACAACTCATACATCAGAAATAAACATATTCATGAGGTTATGCTTTCTATAATTTACAGCAAGTCTCAAAAGTATTGTGCCAGCTAATTCACCAACTGTCTATATTATTTATAGTTGCATGGACTGATACTTTACATAACAAGAAATAACTACTTTCGGCTAAAAGCAGATTACCTACAATTTGAATATTATCTTTTATTTTGTCACAATCCGATGCTAGTAAAATCTGAAGAAAAAGATGTTTTTTAAATCATTATTTGAGGTTTTCAGGACTTAGAAGTATGCAAAATTATTTGCGTTGGTCAAATCTGCTTTGTCAGAACCAAAGTTATCAGCAAGTTAATGAGCAAGTTTTCTAGCTCGCTGCTCCAATACTTCTGTGACTCTGTGTAAATGAATATATGTTTGAATAAAAGTGATCTGATTTTGGACATTATTCATTTTATCTTTTATTTCAGGTTGATGAAGCAGCACCATTAGATAAAGTGTGTTTACTAGGGTGTGGTATTACCACTGGTTTTGGTGCTGCCTTGAATACTGCTAAGGTAAATAAGACTACCACATGTCTACCATCTACCAAAAGACGCGCCTCAATAACCACTACATCCCAACACACCAATCCTTATCACACAACTCACCGTGCTACCATACCTTGCCACCAAACCAACCTGATCCTATTGCTGGTACTAGTATATCCTACCACATAACAATTTAATATTGCACCACACCACATACATCACCACCATATCCCACCAAATACCTCAACAT